ATGTACCGGCTAAAATTATTGACTTCACCCGAGGGTAACTTTCCGACACCTACCCCCAACCCAATATTCTTTTACGCGAATAAAGGGTGCAATTCCGGCGATCTAACTTACAAATGCGGTATATCTGTTCATCCCTATTTCTATGTTTTGAGCGCATTCGAAAATCAAAACAATTAGATAGCTCGTACCCTGCATATGCAATGTATCCCAACTTGACATATCCAATATTAACCGCTATTTTCCATTTTTCATTGAATTCTGACAATTTATCCAGCAAGTAAAATATCTCCTAACATGCTAATTCCAATCTTCACCCCAATTTTCCATTTTCTGAACCAACCTACAATTGGATAATATCATAACTTTTCCATATCCAATCTTTACCCCGATTTGTTCAATTAACTCTAGAAAAACGGGGTAAATCGAGACAATTCTTTCTACTAGTGGTTAATATGATTTGCAATGTCCAATCTTTACCCTGACTTTCCATTTGTTCAACGAATTCTAGAAAAACGGGATAAGTTCTGAGAATTCATCGCGCAAGTGGAATATAACCTAAGTTGTCATGTCAAATCTTTACCCCACTTTTCCTTTTTTTTTTTTAATGAATTAGTTCTAGAAAAACGGGGTAACTCTGAGAATTCATAGTACTCTTAGCTCCCATATGCTATCTTTACTCCGAGTTTCCAATTTTGCCATATCAAATCTTTAGCCTAATTTTCCATTTTTTTCGTTTATTAGAGACAAGTAAGGTAGAATCTGACAATTAATCCCACATGTGGGATACATCCTAGCTTTTCATACTCAATCTTCACCCCGATTTTCCATTTGTTGAGTCAATTCTGGAAAAACAGGGTAAAATCTGAGTATTCATCCTGTAAGTGGAATACATCCTAACTTGTCATATTCAATCTTTGTCCCGGTTTTTTGAATTTTTCCAAGAATTCTGTAAAAATGGGGTAAAATCGGACAATTCATCCTACAAGTGAAACATATCCCAACTTGTGATTTGTAATCTTTACCCGATTTTTCATTATTTTCAGATAATTCTAGAAAAACAATTCATCTCATAAAAAGAATATATCCCAACATGCCAAATGAATTTTTCAATGAATTCTGAAAATGGGCAAAATTGTGTCCATTCATCTTAAAATTGGAATAAATTATAACTCGGGAAATCCCTCATTTTCCGTTTTTTTCTAATTAATTCCAGAAAAACGGGGTAAATTCTGAGAATTCATCTCGTAAGTGGAATACATTCTAAGTTTCCATATCTAATCTTTAACCCGATCTTCTATTTTTATTTCAATGAATTCCAGAAAACGGGGTAAGTTATGAGAATTCATGCCGTAAGTGGATTATATCCTTGTTGTCACATACAATCTTTACCCCGATTTTCCATTTTTTAACGAATTAATTCCAAAAAAAAACAGGGTAAACTCTGAGAATTCATGCTACAAGTGTATATTACCCGAAGTTCCGAATGCCATCTTTGTTCCTATTTTGCATTTTTTTCGTGAATTCTAGAGAACCGGGACAATTTCTTAGAATTCATCCTGCAAGTGGAATATAACCAACGTTGTCATGTCAGATCTTTCCTGATTTTCCATTTTTTAATGAATTGATTCCAGAAAAACAGGGTAAACTCTGAGAATTCATGCTACAAGTGGATAATACCCGTAGTTCCCATATGCCATCTTTACTCTGATTTTTCAAATTTTTTCAAGGAATTATAGAAAAACGGGGTAAACTTTAGTAAATCATCCTCTTACTGGAATACATCCTATTGACTTGCCACGTCTAATCTAGTTTACCCCGATTTTCCACATGCATTTTTTTCAAATAATTCATTATATAAAAACGAGGTACATTCTGAAAAGTTATCCTCCAAGTGGAATTTATCCTACTGACTTGCCATATCAAATCTTTACCCCGGTTTTCCATTTTCTTTTTAATAAATTCTGACAAAACGGGGTAAATTCTGAGAGAACACGCTACAAGTGGATAATACCTTTAGTCCCATATGCCATCTTTACCCCGATTTTCCATTTCTTTTTTCAGCGATGAATTCTACGATTAGCGCTAATCGTTAGCCCCCCAAAATAAAGCAATGCGCAATAACTTAATATGTATTTAAACGTTTCTTATAACGCACGCTTTCAGTTATTGTTAACTTCCATGGAAATTCAAAACTTAGGCACCGGCAACGTGCTATGTAATATACTGTTCCTCGTTAATTGTAATCATTCTTTAAAGAAGTCTCAATTAGAGACGAAATGCGTCGGATATAAACGAGGAGCTTACAACTACAAGAAGTGTTTCTTTGTGCGGCTCGCAAGTCTTACTTAAAAATGAAAAAAAAAAGAAAAAATTACAAATTTTAAAAAAGTTTATTTTCTCAGTGAATTCTAGAAAAGCGGGATAAATCTGAGAATTCGTCTTTCAAGTGGAATAGGTCCTTGGTTGCCAAATCCAATCTTCAACCCGACTTTCCATACTTTTTTTTCAATGAATTCTAGATAAACGGGATACATTTTGCGAATAAATAATAAACAAATAAATGACAATTTATATAGCGCCCTATCCAAAAGCCCTAAGGCGCTTCACAATCAAAGTAAAAAATAAAAATAATAATCAAACGTAATCATTCATAAAAATAACGTTTAAAAAGATAAGTTTTAAGATTACGCTTAAAAGCGTTAAGATCTACACTACATTTTATGGTTTCAGGAATGTCATTCCACAGCTTAGGTGCAGAGACGCGATCACCATAAGATTTCAACTTGGAGCAAGGAATCACTGACAAGTTCCTACTCGATGATCGTAAAGACCTAGTAGGCTTATAAGTTTCTAACAAGTCACTGATATAACTAGGGCATAAATTATTTAAAGCTTTAAAAGTAAAAAATAAGATTTTAAAAATAATCCTCTGCTCTGAATATCAGAAGCTGACCATAGCTCTCTTGATTAACAGGTCGTTTTTGTAAGTTTCTAATTCCTCTCGATCGACTTTACAAGTTTGACTTAGGAATTAAATTTTGTTTTCTGAATCCTAAAATTCGCTTCTGGGGTTGTTCCTTTGTGGAAGTTCACATGAAATTTTATCAAATTCATGTCACGCTGATGTACATTCCACACTTTAATCTCCCTAACCATTTTAAGCAGCATATAACAGTTTGCGGCCTTTCCCTAAATTTAGGCAGTTCGGAAAGCCGCAAAACTCAAGAGCAAAAATTTATCATTCAAATCGGCACTAGTGCGTAATCAATGAGCGCTTTTCGTTCAAATAATTTATTCTTGTTTCTCTTCGCCATATTCCCACCAATAGGGTAACTAAATTTTCTGCATATAAACACACACACAACCCATAATTCCTTCAATTGCTCTGACGAAGGGCTAACGCTCGAAACAGCAGCTTTAAAACTCTTTACGGCGGCCAATTTGCGTTGTCAACTCAGTTGATAATGTTAAATTACTCTGTTATACTCTCCCACCAACGCAGCACCGCAGTTTCTTTAGGAACTTACCCCTTTATTATTAAAATTTATAATCATCAACGGATACAAAAAAAAAAACGCATTACTTCGTTTTATCGAGAAGCCGTTGTGACTTCAATGGTCCTTGTTTCACAACACCCAATCAATTGAGCTCGGGAAGCTAAATTTCAAAGCTTGCGTCCGCTTATTTTCGTTTCATTGTGATATACGCAATAAACGTTACGTTCGGTAAAACTCCCTTTCAGTCGCGTGTATTTGTTTCGTCAGAGCGGTAAAAGTAGTAAATAGCAGTCATCACTAGAAGAAAAGGCTGGAGTTGGCTGCGTATTCAGCGAAAATACTTTTAAACTATCTGGGTCGCGGTAATCATCGGCTCTGATATTTTCGAGAGTTTCTTACTTAACGCGCAGTAAAAATGTTTAGTGCGAGCGTGCACAGCAGAAGTGGTCCCTAGCACTGGGTGTGACCGTCCTTAATTGTCCATGCGATCAGGTACTCTAATAAGCTCAATTCACGCCTGTCTAGATGAAGTCCAAAGTTTAACCAGTTTAGTTGCATTTTCACGGTCATAAGAGGGACCTATAAATTGTTTTGACAAGATATTCCGACGGCTATATTAGCTACCGAAACTATAGTGACTCACGGCCATATTAGTATAGCACTAGAACATATCTTTAAGAGCACATTTTCTTCTTTACAATAACCACCAAGTAAAAACAACGACGCATTGATTTAGGAGGTTAATATATTAATCTTTAGCAGTACTAGCGAAAGGTGCCCAAAATTTTAAAATTGAGCATTACGCATGGTTGAAATTTTAAACGTAATCCGTTTACCGATTTACACACCTCGAGCCTGGTCATGATCACTATGAATAAATAAGCTCTGAATCAATCCCCATGAATGCAATCGGCCAGCAAACACAAGTTGCATGCATGGACACCACTTTCCCGTGATCGTATTTATTGTAATCCAGCGGATAAATGTACAAAATCTACTACGTTTAATACAAGGTAGCGGTAAATCTGCTGAATGGAATCATCCACCCTTTGAAGAATGTTTCAAAGAATTACTACATCAAAATGACACAAGAATACTATTGGTTAATCAACACAACAACTGAGACTGTGTTAGTCACTAATGGTAAGATTCCAAGGCCTATTAGGTCCAATTGATGAAGTTACAATTAAAATTGTCCCAGTCGTGAGTGTTTAACAACAATAAAAACCTAACGCTGTAAAAGAAACCATTATCAAAATGGAGAAGTGAAATCTAATGAGTGTATGCACTTGAAAGCAGCCCCTAATAAAATTATGCTATGGGAGAAAAATGACTGAAATTGTTCCAAAGTTAACATGACAATGATATCTCCTTCACAGCAACAGCTTATTTTAATTCTGAAAGTGATTCGAAAGGTCGATTCACGACGACTTGGTGGTTTTTCGAACAGTCCTAAAGGCGAGTCGTTTATCAATTGCCTTTAGTAAACAAGGCAAAAATTTCTCATCCCTTTGCCTCCACCTTATCCTCCTCCTCAGCAGACTCAAAACTTTCTGGTACATCGCACCAGTTTTCTTGTAAATCCTTGGATTTCCTAGCTTGCATGTGGAGATCAAACCACAAAGAAAACAGTTCAAGGTCTTCGCAAAATTCTTCGGCATAGTGAACATTTAAAAGATGATTAATCCGATCCAACCTTGCCAATATCTCAGCTGCCTCAGGAAGAATATCCTCCTCGATCTCCGTGTTCGCTAAATCAGCAGATTTGTCTTCATTTGCCCCTAAGCGGTCGCCCACGCAACTTAGTAGTTCCTTCATTTTCATTATCACGAGGTGTCCGAGACCAAATTTTCCTCTGGAGAGTTCCCCGATGTGGCCATAATTATAAACAAGAACAGAAACGAAAATATTTATGCATATGAGATTAAGTCCCAATTTTAACGCTGTAAAGTAAACAGGGCCAATGACTGTGCAACAATCGTTAAAATAGTCCACTCCGCCACCGATGACCCCTTCGACAAGAAGAGACTGTAGAACGAGGAAAGGCGAAGAAAAGGAGTAAAGTTCTCTCCCGAATAGAATATATCCCACATGGATACATCCAAACATGAACACAGCGAATACAACTGAGCAGTGAATGAGTTCCCGAGCAGATCCCCTCATTACATAGAATAAATGCCTCACACGGGGATTGAATTTGAGCAAATACAGCAACTTCAAAGTGTTCAAAAACATCAGTAACGATAAAAATACCGTTTCTAAGTCTTGAAGAACAACTCCCCAATCGAAGCTGATAAATTGAAATGTGTTTTTCTCAAGTTTAGCTGTGGTAGCGAAGAGCTCTGTTTCTTTCATAATGTGGGCAATTAGAAAGAAAATGACTGATATGGTCTGGAGGATTTCCACCCAATTGATAAAACGTGAGAAATACAGTCGAATTCCCGTGATCATCTTCCTCGTTTCCTTGATAACAAAGTATATGATATAAACCACTAGTAACAATTGACAGGTTATGGTTACAGTACTGTAGCCCCCACTTATGTCATATATGTGCATAGTATGAATCACGTGATTAGAAACCACGAGACCACTTGGCGAAAACTCAGTCAGGATCCAAATCACGCTGAACAAATTTACCTGAGAGTTAAAAACTGCGCACTCAAAAATTAATGCACTGGTAAATCTGTCAATCCAGTCAAACAGGTTTAGTTCGGAGATGACGTTCAGTGCTGTAGTTTTGTCATAGCCCAACTCGGCCAAGTAGCCTCCTTCACCATAAAAATTAAATAAATGAAGTTTTCCCCATAAGGGAAGATTTAGTGTTTGCTGGGCTGAAGAATAATGCCAAGCACTTGGACAGACCTGAGGAAGACTAAGGAGTGACTCATTGCTAAATGAGGAAAACAAACGCCATTTTTTTCCATGGGAGCTGGTTTTGTCCTCGTTACTGAATGTATATGTAGCCACGCAAGAGTTGAGTGAGGTTGTCAGTTCCTGTATGCTGACATCACAAGAACCTTGAAGTGGAAAAAGACCATAGTGTTAATTGTTTTATCCTTACGATAGAAAAATCGCGTGCATGAGATGCTAATTAATTCATGAATTGATGACTAATGATTAAGGTATTCATTTTCTCTCCTCAATGGAAGCTAGCTAATTTGCTGAAATGATTTCGCGTACCCTTTATGAAGCACAATTTTTCTGTGCAGGTTACCCAAAATTTAAAAGATACTGATTCTTTTATAAATTATATTTATTCAAATCAAACTTGATGGTGACAATTATTCAATGTGATCTGCTTCACGTCAAGTCGAACATGGTTTCTGCGAGTTTTTTTACTCCACTTAAGATTTGAAGTAGGAACTTTTGACGACCTTGTTGAAGCTTCTACAAGTTAAACTGAAATCAGTTTGTCGACGAGATAAATTCAGGGAGCAATTTTGTTTGGTCTTCGTTTAAACACTTCCTTCAAAATACCTTCTTTGACTCGTAGCTGCCTAAGACGAGGCATCCCAACGAGAACAGCGTCGCCGTCTCCAATGTAAAGCCTGGAACTATTTGAGGTAACATCTTTTCCGTCCTCAAAAAGTCCGGGTACCAAAACGTCACGTAGCCAGTTCCATGTGTTGAAGCGATTTGAGATCTAAATATTCGGCGTGATGAAATTAATAACTAAACAAATAAATGTTCATGGTAATTAAGTCGATAATACTTAATTAACGCAGCATCACAGTTTCTTTAGAAACTTACCCCTTTTATTTAAAGAAATATTCATACAGTTGACTGAATGTTGGGCGATCGTGATTGGTTGTTGCTTGTGACCTATCAGATTATCGACGCGTAACTGACGTCAAACGAAAGCAATTTCCCTTGCTTTGTTTGATACGATAAAAAGTACTTTCGAGATTTCTCCTTGGGATTTAAACATTTCTTCGCTCTTTTATCGAGGAATGGAAATACCAGATTGAATTTTAACCTTTACCGGGGATTCCATCATGTGCCTATGTACTTAGCGCACCGTTCCAGGTCTAAATTGGCACTATGAAGCTGAGCTAACACACATCCATGTAGCTATATCTTTACCGTAAAAAACCAGTTCCTTGCAACTACAAAAACACCTTGACAGAAACTTGTCTATTTGAAAGTAGCTTTGATAGCTTTTTTTCTAACTACTTCGATAGTTTCCTAAATAAACTTCACGGAACCGTTTCTTCAAAGTCTTGGTAATTACTTGTCTCCAAAAAGTTGATTTTTGTTGGTCTCGTTCACATTCAAGATCGAGGCATGGATAGGTTTGAGAATCAGTCAGTCAGGAAATGACACCAAATGTCTTGGTTGTTTAAGTCAATACTCACAATTCTGGCTCCTAGATTAAGATTGAAAATATGGTCCCATGCCCGTAAGGTTACCGAAACCTTCGAGAAACGAGCCTCTGCAAATTTCTGTTAACATCATATGTTAATAGCATCCATTCTTACTAAAGTACGCTGGTCTGAAAACGAGAAGTTTAACCTATAATGAGAAGTAATTTACGTACCGTATTAAGTTCTCCAAATGTATTCTTCATGGAAGATGTCATCATATATCCATGCTTGCTACGTCCACCGTAACATACAATAAGTAAAATTAACAAGTACAGCAGGTACGATACTATATTCCGAAGAGCTTGGTACATATACATCTCCCTCATTCGAGCGGCTCTTGCGCGACGTAATTTTCTCTTCGTTAAGGGCTTTGGTGTTTTATTTTCTTCTTTTTCGACCTCATCATAGCCTAGCCCGCCAACTTTAATATCTTCGAGATAAACCTCTGTGTCTACAGGGCCAGAAATCCAGGTAGACGTATCAGGTCCCCTTTTGAAAAGATGAGGCAGTATAAAAGCAACGACGATGATTTGCGCTGGTTCCGTTACAAATAAGTCCAACAAAATTGACATTGCAACCGAAATAAGCCACTGCTCACTTCTATCTATACCCCACTGTAGACTGTAGAAGATAACAAAAGCCGCCGCACAAGTCGTGAGGAGAAAACACAAGAGCCAAGGAACGCAAATAAACCAGCGTGGAAAAGAAAACTCGCGTTTTATTTCGTTAAATTTCGTCCTTGCGTTGGTTTTGAGAGCCATTTGCTTATTCTCATTCGAGGATTGAGTACGAGCAAAAAGTTGCACACTCAAAGTATAGGCAGGAAATACAACCATAAGGCTCTCCACTCCAATGATGAATTCTCTGAAGTTTACAACAAAACGACCCAACCTAAGCGATCCCTGTGTGTCGTCCATCGCTGTTCTATGTTCGTAAAACATCGCACTGGTTAGCATAATTGTCAGCAATAATACTAGACAGCAAGATAAACGTTGCACGCGACTAAATCGATATCTTGGTGGTCTTGCAGCGACCGAAAACCATAAATGTAAATCACTGACTTCTTCAGCAATTCTGTTCTGAACATACGAGGAAAAATCAATTCCTCTGTCATCCGCTGTTGTGAAACGAAAGGTACGATCTATTAAACCATCACCTTTATCAACTGCCAGCCACGTAAAACATACAAAGTTCCTTTGTATCTTACTGAACAGATCGCTAACCTTGATTTGATTCAAAAACCATGATGGACTGGTGCCCGCGTTGTCATGCCATACTCGAACAGATTTTATGGTGCCAATGTCGACAGGAATGGAAATAACGAAGGAAATAATACTTCCTCTAGCAAAAGGAATGCACGAATCGTGCTTCAAATGATACGGTCGACTGGTACCTAACTCTCCCTCCAGTACAATAAAAACGTTGGCAGTGGTTCCCGAGTTTCGCCAGATGCCCGTAAATACTTGAACCTCGACGAAGTGATACCAAGGTACGGGTACTCCTATGAGTGCCCTCTCGCCCACCTTCATGGGGAGAAAGGAGAACTGATGTAAGTATGTTCAAAATGGACACAAACTGTAACTATAATCGACTAAAATGACTTTTTAAAGGGAATAATTTTATCTGTGATCATCGTTTACGAGTGCAAATAAGCTTTGTGCCCGACTACTATCAACAAACCTTGTGCGTGGGTTTAGGGTTCACCTTCACTATATATAGCTTCCACTCGATTTCAAACATTTTTTTTTTAAGTGACAAATAAGCTCTCTGTAAAGTGTTTATACTCGCTCTACCGAAGCTGGAATTAACTATCAATGATTTCAACAGCATTTCATATAGTATGGCTAGTGTTGCACAACCGAAGTCACCTTTCGGCTTTCGTTTCTCGCTCCATTTCTTTTGAACCCCCAAAAATGGCTCAGTTGGCATTTTCAGCTCGAACATTTTACTTTGAATTTGAGTTTTGAGTGCCAATTTATGCCATTATTTCGCCTAAGGATCGGAGAAGATTCGGCGACTGAAAAATTGCAATTCATACTTGGAAATGTTGGCTAGTGGATGGTTTTCTTTTCTCGGGATAACACTACGCTTACACTCGTTAGGTAAAATTCATCAGATAGCAAGGAAAGAACCAATCACCTGTGCGACTGATAAGGGTATTAGGAGCATGCAATCAGCCATCCAAGGCTCACTGGGCGCGAGTTAGTGTATACACATATTGGTAGTATTTAGAAATTACATTTTTACCTTCACGAGATCAAGTTTGTCATTCCGTCTAGCCCATAGCAACAATCCTAGATAGAGACCAAACACACAGCCAACTGTTATTATAACAGCAAAGTTTCCACTATCCGGTAAGCGAACCAGCTCTGTGAAAACTTTATCAAAATCGATGGGAGTAGGCGCCACAAGTAACTGACCACCAAAAGCACTCAGGTGATTACAGGAGCAATGTATGTAATCTTCATTCGTCACTTCGCTTACCTGCAATGAAACAGTTTACATCAACAGTTAGATTAAGGTGTTAATTCCAAGTAAAGGTGACCATGTTGGTGGGCGGAAAATAAATGGGAGTAAACTAAACAACATGAAATTAAGGAACAATTGATAGAGAAAGTAACGTTCTAAGAGTTACTAGTCTTATGGCCACTGTATCATCATATGTTTCAAGCTCCGTGGGAAATTTGAGGGTGAAATTAAGAACTTATGTAATAACTAAAATTTTATTTGAATATAATTGCAACCCACTCATCAATTTTCGCGCAATTTTATTAGCTATTTTACGTCACGTTGTGCAACCGGTCGGTACCACGTAATAACCCCAACTTTACCTCCATATTTTTCCTCCGACTATTTCCGCTGAAAAGAAACAAAGCCAGCGGAAAAAAACCAATGTAAGAGTTTCACCCTTTCATCATTATTACTTTACATGGAAGAAAAGGAACGCGTTTGGTGGAGTCCAGTGATAGTGAAATTAGAAAGGTGATCTTAAATGCTGCCCAGAATAGTACAAAAAAGTAAACAAAATCTACTGTTAACGCGATCTGAAAATTAATGGGAGAGTTATTAAATAAATAAATAAATCCCTTTCTGGTGTTTGGTGTGTCGGTTGATAACGTCCTTGGCTGAGAGATTATCCTAAAGTGCCCTCGAAGCTGTGCGTCTTGGCCAAATCCTAATTTTTGGGACAGTCTTAGCCGCGGAAATTATCAGCAGACGTACCAGCCGCATGAAGGGGTTTATTCAATAAATATTACGTCGCACAGTTTACAGTTTACAAAAAAATTTATCATAACTTCTCCTATTTCACCTTGCATCCGTCAGACGTCCACTGCGATATTTCCACATTCCAGTACAGACAAGCAGCCAGCATCACTTGTATGGTGTAATTTTCATCACCTTCCCGGTACTGAGGTACACTGAAACTTGCACCTTTGGTGGGCGATTCTTTATACTGCACACATGATTGCTTTGAGCAGCGTCTAACTCGAGAGATCTCAGAAATTCTTGACACGGCTGTAAGACTAATGTAATAATAACCAAGACCTTTGCTCTCTACAAATTCCTGGTTCATGAAGACCATATAGGGATCGTGTGAGCAGTTGACATAACCATCTGGAATCTTATCGCAAGACGAATGGTCAGGTATTGTTAAATTCAAGTCGCTGTTAATTACAGACCGCTTTCCATATTTGACAGTCACCAAAAATTTTGTCTCATTGCTTTCTGAACGAATCTTTAGCATCAAGGCCATCCCAGTTTGGTTGACATTTAACTTGTAGAAAACAGTTCTGTTGGCTCCAACGTAATGAGACTGAGAAGTGTTTGCGAATTCCTGGAGGTTCTGAAGTCTTATAGCAATCGGAGCTGTCAGTTCTGTCGCATTCAGGGGATCCCCAGAGCTGTTCTTAAGTTCAAAGCTTGAAACTGCAGTCGTTACTCTTGATCCCGAGGGGTCCCAAGAAAAAGGTGTAAAGTCTGTTGTCACCATCTGCAGACATAGAGAAATGAACATTTTTAACTGTAAACGGCTCTCAAAGCCGTTTGTAGAGAACCCACTACCAAAAATACTTTTCGTCTTCCTAATCCTTCTGTATGTTTTACTTAAAGATTGTGCGGCTTAAAAGCGCAGCAGATCTTTTTTCAATTAGGTTCCGAGCAAGGTATTATTTTCCCCGCTTTGCGACGACAAGGTTTGCCATGAAGAAGAAACTAAAGTCAACACTGCCTTGATTGACAAATATTATAGGACGAGAGGATTTGACATAGCTTAGCCTCGTTAACAAAAAATCATTAAATTCGCCGGCTGTATGCTTTTAAGTTATTCCGAGGTTATTGCTCTTTCGGCATCAAAATGACAATTTGGAAGTGTCATAGAGGAAGCTTCTTATTAAAGGATAAGACCATACAGACAATCCCCTTACGAACCAGAACGCCTACGTGTTTACTCGAAGGTGTATTCACGGTGCGTTCATTACATTAGTAACTACGCAATATTTACAATACGCTATGTGCTGTGCAATCTATAGTTTCTGTACCCACCTGGCTGTCTATATACTGAGTAACATTAGCCAACTGGATGGGTAATGAAGTAAGCTGAAAACTATTTCCTTTGTTTGTCAAAATAGTCTTAGCGAGCATATCTGGTTCCTCTCGCAACACTAATAGAGACATGGCGTGGGCTGAAAGCTTCTTCGGCTCCTCACCAACGAGAGTTCGGGACAAGATGATATTTCCGATCTCTTTCAAAGACTGGAGTATGCTCTCAACGTGGATTCGAGCCTGAAACAAAAACATCCATAAAACGGAAGTCTCTGTCATCATTAGTTACAGCGTATTGCAGCTACTTGAATATTTGGTAACGTGAGGCGCCGGTCCAATGGTTATTATTTTACCATCAAACAATAAGGATTTCAGCGCTACTTTTCCAGGTACAATAAGTTTATCTTTAAATGTCTGTTTCACCTGGACATTTCTAGAATAACAGACATTCAGAGTGAATTGCACCTACGTATGGACGCTCAATTCCGGCAGAAAGGAGGAAAACGGTTAAAGGCTGAAATGGAAATTTATTTGGAAGCGATCTTCACAGTAATGAATACCACTTGAGAAGTACTGAAATAAAGCTGAAATGGGTTTATTATCGCAACAATCATCAGAAACGAGGCACGGATTTGATCACGCGTCTTACATCTCCTTTTTTTGTTATACTCTTTTAAAATTAATATATATACTGTATAGCTTTTGAACTCGTATTTCTGAACGAATCTTTACCTGTAGCTGAGCGTCAGAAGCGCCTCTTTTGTTCCTTCTGGCCCATAGATACGGCAAGGAAGTTCTTGACCTGGATGCCAACCGTCGGCTCTTTCGTGGGAGGCGTTCATCTGTAGTTATGAAACTGGCTTTGGTGTGAGACTTTCCCCGCGAATGCGAATCGTATACACTAGCTTCATGTGACACTACTCTAAGAATGCTACCGAGTCCATTCACAAGACTCATTGCGCCATCAAAAAGCGAGTCGTATCTTTCCCCAGCTGTACTCCCCAACTTCAACACTGAAGTCATCTTTCCAAGTGCATCCGTTGCATCTTTCTGTTCAAAAAAAATTCGAAGGACCAGAATGACAACTAATTTATCATAAAGAGCGATTTTCGTTTGCTAACAAAGCAGTACCTACTTATATATAACATTACCTGCGCTTCAACGGTAACCTCGTCAACGACCGTGCTGGCGGAGGCAATCACATTTGACACCTGCTGGACTCTAACGATTGTATCTACTGGGATAGTGGACAACAGCTGTATGATGCTTGATTTCATCTATAACAATTACAAGAAGAGAGAAAGTGAGCATAGCTGAAACTTGAAAGAGTAAGCAGATAGTATACCTTTACACCTGATGATTTTAGATATATGAAATTCATATATTTTAAAACAGATAGTATACCTTTACACCTGATGATTTAAGATATACGAAATTCATATATTTGCACTGCTGTGAATAAACGAAATTAAGAGATCCTCGCAGCTAAGAACACTACTGAACTAGTAGTTGAAAATAGGACCTGAAAAAACACCTGTTTACCACAGGTTTAAAAACTCTCAATTATTGAATAGAACATAATTTCTCACGGAGCTAAGTCGATAAGGTGAAAAGAAACTTTGAGCTAAATAGGCAACTGCCTCTTTCAGAGACGCAGAACACTGTGCCTATGAGAATGTATAGAAAAATCACCATTTCTACACAATAACCAAGGATGAATGACAGGGAACTTAACATCGATTCAATCTCTTGTTTTGCGATCGTTTATGCTAGCATAACTGAATGCTCGACATGGTGAATTAAGACATGGTTATGAAGGGAGACTCTGAGTAATGTCGAGCCTACGCTCAATCCAATCGTATCAAACTATTACACAAAGCTGAATATAGTCATTATCAGGTCTCAAAGTAAGCTTTAAAATATGGGCGGAAAATGACAATGTGTAAAAGAAGCGTTGTTCAGGCGAACCCGGCCCGGGTGGAAGCAAAACTCTTATCAACGCTGGCAAACAAGCGTCTCATGTAAGCCCGTCTGATATATAAATCACCGAAACTTTATATATTTGAATTTCCTGAAAGAGAAATTTTGAGATGTTTTACTCACGGGTAAACTCTCACTATAAATAGCCCATGATAGTAAATCTTTACCATAGTCCGTTTCTCTGACAACTCATGGGCCTGACTTTCCGTCGTTTTCGCAAGCGCGATGAAGTCAACGACCGAAATGGCTGCCGCCGTTAATTGTAGAGCACGTGACTCGTCACCTGATTGGATCAAATACTTCAGCTCACTCTCATCCCCGGTTGTGAGGTTTTGGACAATGTCTGAGAGGTTTACCTGTTCAATGCTGGGTTCTAAAACCTAAAATCAAAGTAAATACAATACACTACTGATAGTTTACCGGAGTTACTTGTTATTATGATAGACAGAGTTGACTGAAATAAAAATCACACTAGCATAGGAAAGAAGGTAATGAATAGAAACGCTGTTTCTTCGGCGTTTCCGTTTCTTACCTGCACGGGGGTCCTCACTTCAGTGAATACTCCCAACATGTTGGCCACTCGCACTCGAAAGTCGATAGTAAAGTTATTTCTCCTCTCCCCAGCAGGAAGTTTGATTGTTACACTAGTTTTCACTCCTTTGTATGCCACATTAAGGATATTTTTATTTATGAGGTAAATAAATTCATACTGCAACTGAAGATCTGGATCCTGCCAATTCATACACGTAAATGTAAACTCTGTTATAAGAGTTACTCCTGATGTTGGGCTCACATTGCATACTCCTCCAAAAGGGAGGCTGTTTGACGTCACGTGGTATTCGGAATACCCGCGGTGTCCACCTGGTCGTTGTGCAGTCAATATAAACTTATACCTGGTACCGGGTGTCAGCACTCCAGGCTTAGTGACGAAACATTTTGATGAAACTCGAGTACTTATCAACTCTTGTATTTCTAAAACCTCAGTCCATTGTGAACTGTTTAAAGTGTTATTCATTTCTTTTAAAACTGTCCACTTGAAGATAAGGTTACCATGACACGAGGTACCTGTACACATGCCCTGTAAAGCCATTCTCCCGGATGGATTCAGTTTAGCTTCACAGTTTTCAACACACCTGTAGGACATTTAGGTAATGCAGTTGAAACAGATTCACTTCTTCATGTCAAGGCTTAATTCTGCACTTCAAAAGGGTAAGATCTACAGTTGAACCTACACTACCGGCCGGCTCTCTACCACGACCAATTTTTCCCTTGTCCCACTTCCCAAGTTTACTTCACTAAGAATTTAACAATAATATTAATAATCATAATAACGATAAAAATTATAGTTATTATAAACGTAGTATTAAATGGATATACTAGAAAAAAACCCTAAATCGTTCTGCTTTCCCTTGTGTTTTGATGGTTGTCTGGTCTACCTCGTAGACGCATCTTCCTTCTGGACAGTAATTTGCGGTGTTACACTGATGTACTTACATGTTCGTGTGCATGTAGGTGTATCCTCATAAACACATGCACATATGTCATACTTAAAATGATAGGTTGATATTCTATTACTTATGAAAAATTATAGTCTACACTCTGAGGACAAATATCATCATTCTGTGGAAGATTTTACGCATACTTGAATTTAAAGCAACTTTTCTCATCACAGGGTTTTAAAATCATCAGGTAAAGTTTAAGTGCATGGTATCTTAGATTTCACATACCTAACTTGCACTTCCGGTGGATTACCTGGAACGATAAACACTTCCTGAGTGAACTCAGCTTGCCTTTCACCTTTTGTAACCAAAACTGTTATGAAGTATGAGGTGTTTTCTACCATTAGGTTACTGTTCACTCTAAGTTCGTGTCCGGCAAATTCTTCATCACTAGTTCTATAATAGCAACCTGCTTCAACGGATCTATTGAGATCTTTCGCCAACTCCTCTCTACACAGCCACGAAAAATTGAGGCCTATATAAAAACACGAACATAAATGAGAATTAAAAACTAGTAATAGTTCAAACTACGTCTGCCCCCGCCTTTTTAAGATAATACATTTTGACTATACAAATTATTCTAACAGGTTTGAGGGAGATTTTCTCATGTAGCTCATGTTACAATGAAATGCTCTGAAAAAGAGTAAGTAAAAACAGAAGAGCTTTCTAAGTGGTCTCGTGTAATTTTGGCAGCCAAGAAGTTGCTGGTTAGCTACTGAGGTCGAACAAACCAACAAACGGCTACCGTGCTTATCTTCAGTAAATTTGTATCACAAAAACTTTTGATCAGTCAGAAATTAAATTATATGAATATTTAATACCCACTGCGGAGACATGAGATAGAAACATATCGTATTCAGTTCCATCCAAAGTTGTTATGATGCATACAACTTGTAACACGCAGTCGTTCATAACGGCTGCACTTTTGCTATTCTACTGCATTGGCTTCTCCCCTTTTACGGAACTTTGAATACTACGGAGCAATTATCTCAGGAGCCCTGTCTTTTTATAACCTTAACAATGCAGTATGTTTTATCGTGGAAATACTTGTTGTCTTAAAAGGAAGATGCATGCACGAAGATCAAGTCTAATTGTAGGGATATCTACCCTAGCCAAAACTTCGACTCCACATCGTATCCACATCATCTCCACATTGTTCTTAAGTGATATGTATACCTCCTCTGAGAAACTAAGCTTTTTCTTATTTACTTATGACACCAACTTGCCTTACGCTGATAAGACTTTGAGATCCCTTGAAGCAACAATTAACGAGGAGTTAAGGAATTTGAGCAACTGGCTGATGGTATATAAGTTTTCTATAAATGTCAAAAAATCTTATTTTGTTATATTCAGACCGTATCAAAAACGTGTTGAGTCTGAAGTGAACATAAATATCTTTGACTATAGTGCTAGTTCCCTTCTCTCTCTGGATCGGAAAGAATATATAAAATACCTTGGTGTCCTTATCGATTCAAAATTTTCTTGGACTTATCTCATCTAAAATTAGCAAGTCTTTAGGCATTTGATCAAGATTACGATATTTTGTCCCACAAACTGTATTGCTTAACATATAACGATCTCCTTTTCAACCTTACTTGTCTTATTGGGTTTTGATTTTGCTACTGCGTGCTATCCTCATAATATATTTTTAAGCCCTCTAGATTTCATGCTGTACCTTTGTTCAACAGGTCAAACTTTCTTCCTCTTGATCTTATCTATTTCAAAACAATCTGTTCTTTTATGCATTATTTCTTCTACAATCTGACAACCCTTACATGTCAGAACTATTCAGTCAATCCTCAGAAAAACACTACTACTACACCAGGACTACAAGATCCTCAGCGACTGACTTGTCGCTGAGAGAACGAATCACGGCTTGCCTTGAATAATCACTACAACTGATAAAAGGAAACAAACGGAGTGATTACAATAGCCTCATACGAACTCTTAAGGAAAGGAATAGGAAATTCTGTAAATCACACCTCTTTCTCTAATTTAAATACCAGTGAATACACATTCTCTGTCTATCTAATAGCGAATGTGTTAATTAAATTTTGGAATATAATGTATAGACTTTGACCTTATATCGCACAACGGAAATTAACACAGACGTTTATTATCTGGACTGCACCAAGTATTTTCAGGTTTTCGTTCTCGTTCAGCCAATAAAATTTGCTGCTTAGCGACCCAGTTTTTCAACTCAGTAGATCTGGATTTATATAAGCTTGGCATAATGTTATTTATTGAGAAGAAGTTACCACGCGCGCCGAGTAAAGAAATTAAACCGAATACAAGAGTATGCGCGTCTTATCAAGAAATTACCGGACGCGACACTGCGCGCTCAGTTTGTTCAAATCGGGATTACTTCGCCTACTTTACCAACATATTTCATTTTCTTCTTCTTCTCTTCAATTCCATACATGCATATACACGGGGACTTATGAGCCTGTTTCTGACCTCTGAGCCAGAAACTCTGTGGTGGGGACAATAAAGTATATATAAAGAACAGAATTGTCAAAACTAATCTGGTAATGGTTAATCAAGAATTCAGCCAAGAGAATCCTTATTCTCGTTAAGAGTTACAGCCTTTTCAAGGGACTACCATACATGTACATACGTTGTACATCTGCCTTTTTTAAAATGCTTGATTTCAATTATATAATCACAGGGTGCAAAGGAATATAGTTTGACTGTATTTTATTTGTGACAATGGTAGACAACTAAACCTTTTCGCACGAGGCGCGAAGTTCTGAGAAACTACTACAACATTGGCCCACCGTAAATACTACAAGCGTGTTTTTTTGCCTCGCGAACAGGATTTCAAGAGACGCGTGACGCGATCGCATGTATATCATCGGTCACTCAACAAGATACGTAGCTCTGCAGTTGTACGGTTTATTAAATTGAAAATACAGTAAAATTTAACTCCTCTGCTCCCGGTGTGGTATTAAAAAGTATTTGTTTTTACTACTAACCTAGGGATTTTTGATTCTCCTCATCAGGATCATATGATAGAGATGCATCAAAAATCAAAGTTCTGTTCAGTCCTCTGGCCACTTTACTTCCTCCAGCAATGGATGCCACTAAAGGGCTACTCACCACCTTCAAATAACCCTGACTAACCCCAAACACTGCTGTTCCTATCATACTGACGTTGAGTTGAACCAAAAATTCACCAACTGGCAATAAGCGTGGTGTGATCTGCAGTTCTGAAGAGCTATTTCTTGAAAGAAAAAGAATATCTTCTTGACCCAATCGGTAAACACTCCAGGAGAACGTTGTCATGTGGGAAATATCACAACTCAGATTGGCTTCAGACAGAATTATAAACTGGCTTGATCTGTAAATGCTTGAGTCGGGAGGAGCATTTGGTGAGACGTTTGGCAGGCTCACATCTAGGCTGTGACATTGATCATCTGATAAGAACAACAGATCCTTTCTGAGAGTTTCGAAATAATATTATTTATATAGGAATCACTGATGTTCATACCCACGAAGTTCTGAGCTTCATTGTTTATTTAAACTTACCTATAAATTGTTTGACACAATGATCAGCTTTTGTTGAGAAAGGATTTGAAGGATTGAGGTTGTTAACTAAAGGGGCTATTAGCTTAACCCCATGCAGCAAAGAATATTTTGTTTAACCATGTGTGGTGTTCTTCAATCCCATAGAGGAATCTGATTGCACCTTTTATTAAATGAAATATATTTCATTTGTCCCACAGATGAAATTGAGTAAAGCAATGATCCCCACAGGTGTGCTGAAATTTAAATATAAGCAATTGCAAAAAAGAATAAAAAAAATTCAGGCTTCAACAGGATTCATACCCATGCCTCCCTCTTGAATTTGCATTGCTCTCAACATGTGACTTTGCTGGTAGTAGTGTCCAATTAGTATCTGGGAGGTATGCTGTTGAATCCAGACTTTTTTCAGGCTTCTTTTCTGCAATTCCTTAAATTGCTGCACACCTGCTAAGATCATTGCTTTTCTTTACCATTCACATAAATATACATATATATATATGTATATAAGTGAAAGAATAAAAGAGGACGTATTGATTCTCTGTTACTCTGAGTTTCGAGCCTAAGCACTCGTCAGACAGAACTTAGGCGAGAACAAGCGCTTAGGTGCGAAACTCAGAGTAACAGAGAATTGATGTGTCCTCTTTGATTCTTTCACTTATAAATACACTCAGCTCTGCTGCCACAGCATTGAGTACTTTATGCCAAGGTAGACTCTATCCCCACACATTCATACATACATACATACATGCATTCATGCATACATGCATTCATACATGCATACATGCATACATGCATACATGCATACATACATACATACATGCGTACATATATAAAATTCAGGGACCATGCAGAGGGAGGGGCTATGGGGGGGCTCTAGCCCCCCCCCCCCCACTTTTTTGCAAAAAGAAAAAAAAAATAAACAAAAAAAATTTAAAAAAAATTAAAGAGCCAAAATAGCCCCCCCCCCCCACTCAAAAATTTGCTGCATGGTCCCTGTATAATTATGCAACATAAATGCCACCAAGATTTAACAATATATGTGGTGTGTGTAACATATATGTAAATGGCAGGAATTTGTTGCTGTGATGTGTGTAACATACAATACATGTTATAAGCTAAAAATTTCAATGTAATCGTCATTAAAGTACTAATAAAGTACTAACTCAAATCATATATACACATAATCATAATATACTCAAAATCCATCGATATTTTTCTCTTGTGCATGATTAGTCTGAACACATTACAAGATCAATGGCCTAATCTAAACTGAGGGATACCTATTCCCCAATTGATATTCCTCAATTTTCAAACCTTATGTTCAGTATGAATGTAAGTCTGTATTTTAAAATTTAACTCATGCCAAGAGAGCATTTTGCTGTAGTTACAGAGGATGAGAGAAATTTGTTTGTTCATATAAATTTGTACCAGAGAGCAACAAAAATTTAACAGCTGTGTGTGTATAACATATATGTTAGCTGTTTAATTTTCAGAGTTCTTGGATCCCAGTTAAATTATGACTTTCAAGTTTTCATATTACTGTAGTTATTCGGTTATAAGGCGCATTGCTTTTTTCAAGAAATTCCTAATTTCTACTAAAAATTACTGCCAAAGTTTGGGTGCATCTTATAGGTGAATACTTTCCCAAAAAAACTTTTTTGATCACAGTTACTGGTACGATTTCAAGCAAATAAAAGGACACACAGTGTTGGTCATTGACTTTTATAAATATGGTGGTTCTGAAAAGAAGAGCGAAGTCAAATCTGCATAGATATGATACATGCTTGAGACGTGCTCTGTAATCTGATATGTCACAAAACGAAACGAAAATAGACAAGCAAAGAGATAAATACCTTCTTTATTCATCCATCCTTTTTTGTGCACTGCATGAGACCTGCATTCTTGGCGGTATGTTAATTCTTCTTTAATCAAGGCTTTTGTTTGTGTGCATGGTTGCGTGTGCAACAATTCTGCTTTTGTTAATTAATGGTAAACTAAAATCAATGCGCAACTTTTTCACTTTTTGGTGCAACTTATAACCAAGTATTTTAGCGATATTTTCAGTTTGAAAACATGCAATAATGAAGTTGACGAATTGGGGGTGAGTCTTATAGCTGAGTGCGCCTTATAACCGAATAACTATGGTACATATGTTACTCTACATACCAATTAATACATATACATGCAGCTTTATAATCTGCACTAAATCTTAAGTATAAATTACCACTTGTTGTCTTTGCTATGATCCCTTCTGAATATGGTCCAATACCATCGTCTGTAAATGCAGCAACTTGAATTTCATATTTGGTGTTCTTCCTAAGGTTTGTTATTTTTTCTTGAAATTGAGACTTCCAATCACTTATAATTTCCATGAAGGCATATTGACCATTGCCAGCCTTTTTATATCTTAACTTGTACCCTGTCATTTGGCCAAAAACTGGATGCCAAATGACAGTGATTGATGTTGAGTCCTTTTCAGCCACTTGTAGGTCTGTTGGTGCAGCACTGGGTACTTAAAGCAATACATATATATAGAGTGTTAAAGATCAATTTATTACAAAAACATTTGAACCTTTACATATTCACACAAGGAAACTAAATTACACTCCACATACTATTTAACAAGACAGAAGTTATTTGTTTTTGTTTCCTGGATCACATTTAGACCATGGGTCAAATATCTGAGCGCAACCTTAACTGCATGCAGCCCCATAACCTGCTATATTTTGCATAATTACTTTTTTCTTTTTGCAGCACAGAACATTTCTGACCACACCATAGGATTGTGAGATGGGTGCTGGTTACTCTCAGCTATTTGGTGGAATTTTTCATGCTTCCCTTTTCTGCTACACAGCACAAATACACACTCTGCACAGCCAGAGGAATGAGACTCTGATATCTCTTCATGCATGGAGCCCAGCAGTAGCAAAGTTTGTAACCATGCCTGTATAGGCCCCCGTGTCTCCCAAATAACATTAGTCTACATGACACAATAATTATGACCTAAAATTTATTTGGTAGTTATGTCAGTTGGTTGAAAGATTCACAATAATATATCATTCTGATAGCCTAACTTTAAGGAGGCTCTATAGGGTTTTGGGTTGATGATGGTGTGTACCAGCATAATGCTTTTCTTGAAAATTTTTATGATTTTGCTGTTCGAGGTCACTATAAAAGCCATCATAAGAGTAGAGCAAGGTTTGGACTATGGTTTGCTGTTGTAAATATTATTATCAAAATGATTTTCATTATCAAGCTAAGGCTCCACAAATTTGGCTAATTACCTTTGATTTTTCTCTCAAAATTTTCACAATTTGTGAAATTTGTTCTGCCAATCATTTAAAAGCCCAAAAAATGTGGGTTACAAAGGAAGTTTCCTAGCTATCTGCAATTTTATGTTTACTTCCTCTTTCTCAAATTTGGTTCTATGATTTTTTAATCAATCGTCACAAGGAAGGGCACAAACATGTTTAATAGTCCAGCAAATCTGTTAGAAAATTTTACAGAAGAAAATGCAACAAAATCTTGCTAGAATGATTCCTATTTTCTTTGTCACAAAACATTACATAATGAAATAGAACTTCACCAAGATATACATCTGAGCATATGTGTAAACTTAGAATCTGTTGCCTTTTGGTAATCTTTCTGACTTTGTTTTCTTAATGGTTGACCTCTTTTTCAGGTGTAGAAGGCCAATGAATATTACGGTGCAGTTGCTAGAAACCCTAGATTCCATCACATAAAAACTATATTGTGCTAAACCATTTTAACACACGTTTTCAGATAACAATCATGCAATCATATCAAGCTGCCATGTTTGTTCACACCCAGATCTTGCATGGTCAAAAAACCCTATGGAGCCTCCTCAAGCTTATTTTTCTTGCTGCGTACAGGTGTATTAAAAAAAAAAATTATAGACCATGAAGACTGTTTCGATTTCTAAGTGTACAAGTCACTATAAAAACATTTTTTCCCTTTGATCCCTTGGAGGGACTAGCATCTAATTTTTAATAATAATTGAACTGAATGGAGTGCAATTGAGGCTAAAATCATATTCGTGATTTCAAAATTAAGTGAGCACATAGCGCAAGTTTGATTTGTAATCACAAGTGTGATTTCAGACCAAAATTGCTCAACACAAAGTTCAATTGCCACTTCATTACATCCATTTTGAAATCACCCAAAAACAGGACTTTTGGTCAGTTCAAATATTTGATTGATGCAGTACTGAGCCAGTTTTAAATTAAATTCATCCATTTTTTTGGGGGGAAAGAAACAAGAGTTTTGGAAACAAAAGTTGCAAAATTTGCAACATGATACTCTTTGTCTTTCATTTTCCTGCAATTTGATTGGTTACTTTAAAAAAGCCTTGAAATCTGATTGGTTGTTTTTTTTTTAGTGTAGCCTCCTCATTGGCTGGGAAAAAGATATGATTTAAAGCAAAAAATGGTGCAATTTGTGAATAAATTGCACCAATTAGAGCCAATCAGATTACAGGGACCACCAGTGATTTCAAAATGGGTGTAATAAATCCTTACAACATCACCCCTGAATCACATAATAAGTTTGCAAAAATAAAGGAAACCATCACCAACTTAGAAATTGTTCAACAAATTCTCCTCGTCAGCACCTTTGGAAATGTAATAGGAGAACAGTATACAGATAAAGGATGAAACTAAGGCACTGGTAGATAGAATTCCAATTGAAGACTAGAAAAAAATTTCTGACCAAAAAAGGGGGTAAAGTATTCTTCAACAATAACAAACTTTTGTTCCATTTCAATCAGTATAGCCTGTTTTTCTTACCTCCAGCTGTCTCTACATTTCTTGCTTGCAAAATGAAAATGACAAAAACCTTGCAAAGCAATATAATCTTCATAATGTATAGCCAGGAATTAATGGCACCAGCTG